CTTCTAAACCCAGCCTGGACTTCTGGCAATTCTCTACTGATGTACTTTTCCAGTCGTTTTTGGATAATCTTCAGTAGAATCTTGCTTGCATGTGAAATTAATGATACTGTTCTATAGTTTCCACACACTGTTGGGTCACCATTCTTTGGGATAGAAACAAATATAGATCTCTTCCAATCAGTTAGCCAAGTGGTCTCCAGATTTCTTGGCACAACTTGGTGAGCACATCCAGGGCAGCATCTGTTAGCTGAAATATGTCAATTGGTATACCATCTATTCTATCACATTGTAGTAGATAAAAATTTTAAAGGCAAGGATGGTGAAGTTTCATTTATTTTGGTCCTGTTGTCAGGAGGGGCTTGTCCTTGGAAAAGGGCATCATATTTGAATGGTGGAGGGTTGGTAAAGGAGAGGAAGACCACCAATGAGATGGACTGACAGAGAGACTGTAACAGTGGACTCAAGTATATTAGAGATGAAGAGAATGGTACAACTCACAGGGCCACGAGGAGTCATAGCTGACTTGACAGCACCTAACAACCATCACGTTACACTTTTCCTCTACATGAACCTTTATGATATTCTTATAACACATTGTGTTAATCATCTTGAATTTAAATAAAAATTTAAAAGAATCCAAACCCAGTCCCATCCAGTTAGTTCTAGCTCACAGCAACCCTGTAGGGCGGACAGAGTAAAGCTGCTCCACGTGGTTTCTAAGGCTACTGATCTTTACAAAATCGGCTGCCATGTCTTCCTCCCATGGGATGGCTGGTAGGTTCAAACCAGCAACCTTCTGGTTAGCTTAATGCTTCTAAGGAGTGCATTACCAGGAATCCTTCAGTTACCACAGGTAAGAATGTGAAATATAGCACTATACATCCAGCTTTACTCACATGTGACGAAGAAGTAAAAATTCATTAGAAAAGTCTTTACATAGTTATATAAGGTAATAGATGTTATAAAACACCTTTAAAAGCAGCTCACTTCCAAACATGTTATATTAATTATGATGAAATTATATAAAAGCTGTTACAAATGTTGTAAAATGTTATGAAGGTCAAGAAATAGAGAAAACTACTGACCAAAGGAACAGTTTCCACACACTGTGAAGAAGGGCACTGTGTACCTTTTCTGGAGAGGTTAGGGAGGGTAAATAAAGTGTCACTGTCCCGGGAAATGGAGTACAGCATGCTTTCTTCCAAAGGAAGCGTGTAGTTTGAATGTCTGAGGACTCCCTTGTTCTTAACTAAAAAGTCAATTTCAGTAACATCTTTTTGTTGAGTCTATAAGAGAAAAAAAAATTAATTACTCACTATTTTAAATGATGACACAGCCCCATAAAAATTTAAAATGGAATTTTTCTGCTTGATTCTGAAACAGAAGAAGGTGCCCTTGTCAGACAGTTGCACTTTCTTTTTTCTCTACTCTGAGCCATCTAATTTGCAACCTTAATCATATTCCAGCCAGGTGGTGAAGTTGTTGCCCAGAATTCAACATTAGTTGCTCCATGGGAAACAGTCTGTTCCTATAAAGATTTACAGCCTTGGAAACGTCGGGCAGTTCTTCTCTGTCCTGAGGAGATGGTGAATCAGAATGCATTCAATGGCATAGTGTTTTAGTGGAAGATTACAGAGCAGTACAGAGCTTAAGCACTCAGCTGCTAACAGAAAGGTCAGTAGTTTGGAGTCATCCACAGGAGAAAAGTCTGCTTGTACCAGGGTTATAGCCCTGAAAATCATATGGGGCAGTTCTTCTCTGTCCTAAGGGTTGCTATGCATTAGAATCAACCCAGGGGCACGTAGCAATGAAAACTCACTGTCAGCTCCATTTCACTTAGCTAGAGGCCATGGGAAGCAGAGCTACAAACCAAGCTCTCTTTAAGTGCTTTCTTTGTTTGATGGTGTCTATACAACATTTTCAAGTGATTTAAACAGATGCATATGCTCAGTGTTCTCAATAAGTAAGACATTTCAAAATACTAACAAAATCAAAATTTTAAATGATTGGCTATAGCATTATGATACTTTCTTCCTTATCAAATCAGAAATAATCATTTAACACATGCATTACACCTAACACAAATTCAAATCTTTACAATTACCCAGAGAATAATACCCAGTGAATAAGCATACTATCTTACTTGTTTTCCATCAATCTCTACTACCTCTTCTTGAATGACAATTAGCTGCAAACTGGAACCAGATGTCATAGGCCACTCATGAACTAAAATCCTTACACTGACAATTCCAAAATATTCTTTTTCCTCATTTTCCAGATTTTCATTCTTCACTATTTAAAAGAAAAAAAAAAGTAGTGACAGCTTTGAACAAGAATGGCTATCAAACCTGCTACTACATTTGATTATTTTGATGACACTTACATAGAACAAGAGAGTTGAATACCAACCTTTTCCTACTTTCTTGAGGTTTGTAAAAATAATGTTTAAATTTTTACAGCTAATAGTCATTTGAAGGAGAGAAAGTGTGTGAATTTTTTAGATTTTGCATGAAATACTACACTAACAACATCTTTTCTAGTAGCTTACATAGGTAATTGTTGGTCAACGAGGCACCAAGATGGCATATCACCAAACAGAAGAGAAGACACAGCCCCAAGCTTGAGCAGAGTAAGCACACTTATTTACTCATTCATTCACAAAATGCAGTGACAGAAGAGGCCTAAGCACAGAAGACATGAAAAGACACCTCAACAAAGACAACATTCGGATGTCTCACACAGACACATAAAGAAATACTCAAGATCACTAGCTACTGAAGAGATGTGAATCAACATGAATAACAATGAGACATCATCTCATTCTAGCCATAATAGCAAAGTTCACTAAGACAGCAAACTGGAGAGGGTGTGGAGAGACTGGAATGCACACAGTGTGGGAATGCTGTAATTAGATCTGATAGGCACTTATGCCAGCTATCAATGGAACAAACTCTGCAACAACCAGTAAGACTGGAAAGATGGCTGCATTCCATATCAATCCTCAGGAAGCATAATGCCAATGGAATTATTATTTAAACCAGTAGTCACACATTTCCCCCTATTTATAATGGATTAACTTAGAGTTGACCAACCCTCTTACAGAAAACCACCACAAAATTTGTACAAAAACAAAACAAAACTTAAAATTCGCACATGTACATTCAAATCCCAAATCCTGACATGAAGGATCAAATTGCTAAACAGACAGCGAGTATGTGAGCTGTCAAAAAGGCATCACTGAGGCAAGTTCAACAGTCTGTGCTATTTTCCCCTACAAGGCATTTGCAAACTCCAAAACTAAGAAAGGGGGGAATAAGTTGAAAAGCGTTAATAGCAGCAATAACTAAGTGGCAGAGAAGCTAAGGAGTATTTCTGGCAGTCTCAGGCAAGTGGGGTAAAAGGAAGTAAAAGGCTAGAAAGGTAGTCAGAACTTGTAAGGACAAGATCCTGGACAGGAAGAGATAAAAGAAGTAAACACATACTCGATACCATTTATTCCTTTGAAACACTGGCAATTAGTGAGGGTGCCTGGAAAAAAATGAGTTTATATATAATGATGAAAAATTAAGGAGAACTCTGGCAAGTTCACAATATTGGGGACTTTTAGGTCTACAAAGGAGGAGGGTTACTGACAAAAGCCCCAAGTTCTTCCTAGGGACTTAAGAAGAGCTCAAGCTGCAGATTCAGAGTAGATGAGACTTGGCCTCACAAAGGCGGTGGAAATCCACCCTGGAATCAGCTCCATCCTTGATTTCATTAAAGTGTTCTGCTCTTCAGATGAGAGCCAGGGGCTGAAGCAGATTCCGTCTGAAGGAAGAGAATACCCAGTGTACTGTTAAAATTTTCAGAAAATAAGAAGACATACCAGGAGGGCTAAACAGGGAAAAAAACCCCAAAACACCAGATTCATAAGAGCTCAAGATATTGGAAGTAATTGACATGAGCATTAAAGTCACTGAAATGACTCTGCCTCCTTAGCGCTGGAGGCAGAGCGTCAGTCTCATAAAGTTACTGAAATGAAGAAACCAAACTAAATCCTGTCGAGTTAGAGCTACCTCACAGCTTGACCTTCCAGAAGGTATGCAGAGGCTGTAAATCATGCAAAGGAAAATGCCTGTTGGAGGAGCAGCTTGGAGATGTGAGTTGGCCTTGGGCATGGCAGTGCAGCTCCTTACCCATGAGACCATCAGAACTCAAGAGCTACAGTTCAGAGTTAGGGTCAGTTATAAAGGATCAAAGACATTAAAAGGGGAAAGAGAATATTGCGGTAGTGTTAACTAACGGAAGTGATAATGGTCAAAATTTTGCTAAAATTGACAAAAGACACCAAGCCATAGAAAGGGGGAGTGGGAGGGATTGCGGAGAAGGTGTTAAGACTGGATACAAACAGTAAAACTACTAAAAAACCATGGAGAGAAAAAAAATTCTTAAAAACAGCTGGGGGTGGAGGGGAATGTAGGAATATTTTAAAAGGAGCAACAAGGAAACTAACATTCAAAAGAAACTACAGGAGAAAAAAAATGATGGAAATTAATCTTTAGTTGAAACAAAAATGCTAACCTGTGCTATACCCAATAAAAGTATCCTTCTAAAAAAAAAAAAAGCAAAGACACAATGCTAACATACCTGAACTAAATAAAAGGTATACATACAAGGAAGTCCAGTGACTACTACTATCATTCAAATATACGCACCAACAACTAGAGCCAAAGAAGAGGAAATAGAATATTTTTACCAACTTTTGCAGTCAGAAATTGATCAAACATGCAATCAAGATGCATTAATAATAATGGGCGACTAGAATGCAAACGTTGGAAACAGGGAAGAAGGATCAGTAGCTGGAAAACAAGGGCTCGGTGAGAGAAATGAGGCTGGAGATAGAATGATAGAGTTCTGCACATTCAATGATTTATTCATTGCAAATACCTTTTATAAACGCAGGCTATAAACATGGATTTCACCTGATGGCACGCATAGCCATCAAATAGATTACATCTGTGGAAAAATTTGCTGGAGAAGCTCAATATCAGCAGTGAAAACCAGGCCAGGTGCTGATTGTGGGACAGACCACCAACTACTCATGCAAATTCAAGCTGAAATTGAGGAAAATTAAGTCAAGTCCATGGGAACCACGATTTGACCTTAAGTCTGTCCCACTCGAATTTCAAAACCATTTCAGGAACAGGTTTGAGGCCTTCAGCACCAATGAGCGTAGACCAAATGAGCTCTGGGAGGATATCAAGAAAAAATGAAGAATGCAAAAGAGCATTACAAAGTCTAAAAAAGAAGAAAAGACCAAGATGGATGTTAGATGAAACTCTGAGTATTGCATTAGAGCGCCGAGAAGCCAAAGCTAACAGAAGAAACCAAGAAATCAAAGAGCTGAATAGAAAATTTCAAAAGGCAGCTCGGGAAGACAAAGTAAGATACTATAATGAAATGCGCAAAGAGCTGGAGTCAGAAAAATCAAAAGGGCCAGAATCGCTCAGCATTTCTTTTTTTTTTTTAATTTTTTTTTTTCGCTCAGCATTTCTTAAGCTGAAGGAGCTGAAAAACAAATTTAAGCCACAGGTGGCAATACTTAAAGATAGTTTGGGTAGAAGGTTAAATGATCCAGGATGTATAAAAAGAAGATGGAAGGAGTACACAGAATCATTGTATCAGAAGGAACTGGCTGACACAGAGGAATTTCATGAAATAACATATGAGCAAGAACCTATGGTGGTGAAGGAGTAAGTTCAAGTAGCTATGAAGGAATTGGCAAAAAAAAGGCCCCAGGAGTTGACCACATACCAATTGATATATTTCAACAAACGGACACTGCCGTGGATGTGCTCACTAAGTTGTGCCAGGAAATCTGGAGGACAGCCAGCTGGCCAACTGACTGGAAGAGATTGGTATTTGTTCCCATTCCAAAGAAAGATGATCCAACAGTGTGGAAATTATCGAACAGTATCATTGACATCACATGCAAGCAAGATTCTGCTGAAAATTATTCAAAAACGTTTGGAACAATATGTCAACAGAGAACTGCCAGATGTGCAGGCTGGATTTAGAAAAGGTCGTGGTACTAGGGATATTATAGCTAATGTAAGATGGATCTTGGCAGAAAGCAGAGAATACCAGAAGAATGTCTATCTGTGCTTCATTGACTATGCAAAGGCTTTTGACTGTGTGGATCACAACAAGCTATGGCTGATTCTGAGAATGGGAATCCCAGACATTTGATCGTGCTAATGTGAAACCTATACTTAGACCAGGAGGCAGTCGTCTGAACAGAGCAGGGAGACACTGGATGGTTCAAAATCAAGAAAGGGGTCCGTCAGGGATGTGTTTTGCCTCCATATCTTTTCCATCTGTATGCAGAACAGATCATCCGAGACACAGGGCTGTACAAGGAGGAATGTGGCATCAGGATTGGTGGAAGTATCGTCATCAACCTGCGTTATGCAGTTGACACAACCCTCCTCACTGAAAGTGAGGAGAACCTGAAACACTTGCTGCAGAAGGTCAAGGACTGCAGTCTTCAATATGGATTGAAGCTCAGTATCAAGAAAATAAAGATTCTCACCACTGGGCCAATTGGCAGCATCAGTATGGATGGTGAAGAGATTGAGATAGTTAGCAGTTTTCGTTTACTTGGCTCCACAGTCAATACTCTTGGTAACAGCAGCCAGGAAATCAGGAGACGAATTGCATTGGGAAAGTCAGCTGTGATGGACCTCTCAAGAGTACTGAAGTGCAACGACGTCAGGCTGGAGATTAAGGTGCGCCTGATCCGGGCTATAGTCTTTGCAATTACGTGCTATGCATCGGAGAGTTGGACAGTGAATAGGGATGATAGAAAGATAATTGATGCCTTTGAGTTGTGGTGCTGGAGAAGAGGGTTGAATATACCATGGATTGCTAGGAGAACAAACAGGTTTGTCCTGGAGAGGGTGAGGCCAGAATGTTTCCTGGAGTCATAGATTCTGAAGCTTCATCTGACATACTTTGGGGCATGATGCAAGGAGGGACTGGTCCTTGGAGAGGGACATCCTGTTTGGGAGAGTGGAGGGATGAAGCAGGAGAGGAAGACCCTCGATGAGATGGATCGATTCTGTGAGTGGAGTGGTGGGAATGAATGTGTTTGAGACAGCGAGGTTGGCACAGGATAGAACGGTGTTTAGGGCTCTTGTACATAGGGTCGCTATGAGTTGCAAACGACTTGATGGCACATAACAACAACAACAACAACAAATTAAAGGTAATCTTTAGGCAGAAAGGAAAGGACCTTGGAGGAAAGCACTCACAGATCTATAGGGTGAAGTGAAGAGTGATGAGAAGAATAACTACAAGAGTAACATAAAAGCACACTGGACTGCACACATCAAAAAGATAATAATGCCATAGAGTGGCTTTAAAAAGCATGCCAATGACAGCAGTGCTAGAAAGAGAACAGTTAAAGTATTATAAGATTTTTGTAGAGAAGCTATGAAAATATTTTACTAATCTCAAGAATTGAAAACAGTTGCCGCTGGTTATTGTTCAAATGGATTTCCTAGCCATTGAGTTTGACAATGCCATGTAGATGAGTGGGGCAATGTGAATAGGAAGTTATTAGTCTTATCTACAAGAGGACTGCCTAGTCTTACTACTAAATAGGACAGATTTAGCAGGAGATCTGGAAAGTCCCACCAACAGCAAAGAAGCAGGCATGCTGTGAGTACCCTTCAGGGCCAGAGATTCTTGTGCCAAGTAGGACTACAGCAACAGCGCTGTCGAAGCAACCTAACAGATCTGGCATGAGATGAAGCACATTTTGAGACTGCTACTCTATGGAAGAACCAGAATTAAAAGCCTTTGCTAAGTTTGTTGTAAGACTGGAGGAGGGAGGAGAGAGGGAGAGAGCCATAACTGGCAGGACTGAGAGCTTTGTAACACTAACTTACAGCCACGAGGCTCAAGACTGAGGTGCCGATGAGCACATTTCAGAAGCTGTCCTGACAGAGGTAGTATTCTGCTACTAACCTGAATTGTAGCCTTTTGACTTCCCTAATACAGTTCTGTGTTGTCTGTGAGCTAGTGCATGGATTTCAGACACAGCAGAGCATTAAGATTGGTGGTGAGATGAGTGAAAAGAGATACAGTGGGGCGTGGGGGACATGTCTGACCTCATGAGAACTGTTTTGTGTTGTTGATAGGAACAGTTCCCCTTTATGGTTTTGGTAAAGGTCAGATATAGCTATCCCCATATGGCCTTTATTTACAACCAGGCAACAATTTGCACCACCACCAAAAAGCAGTTTTCAATAAACTCATGTAAAACAGACATTCTTCTGTTACTTCAAAGGCATATAAAAACAGTAACATACTATGATGAGTTTGGAAGCAGGAGTGGCATCCACTTCCTAAATAACATGTCTCCAGAAACTCTATGAAGTTTGATAAATGTCGATACTTGTAAGGGGGGTTTCAAGCTTTTTGTTCATAGGGTTGCTATTAGTCGTGCTTGACTCTATGGCAACAACAACAAACATATAAAATAAAGCTGTCTTTAAAAAATCAGTAGAGAGATATAGAGGGATAGATTACAGTGATAAAGGAATCAATTTACCAGAAAGCTAGAACAATTCCAAATCTCTATATATTTAGTAACAGCATCAAGAATATAGTAATTGACAGTACTGGAAAGAAAAATCTCATAGTCAAGATTGCTGCTTTCTTAAATATTATAGCCAAAATAACCCACAATGGTGCAGTTCTACCCAATGGTCAACAAAAGTCAGATCAGCTGAATAACAACAGGTTAACTTGGCTGGGGTTTGTGTTTTTTTTTTTTGGGGGGGGGGAAGTGGTTGTGGATTAGGGTTCCCTACAGTGATTGACAGAACATGCAGATTGTTTTAAAAATCAGTTAACTGTATAAAATAGCAAAAAGAATTATTAACTTGAACTTAATTTAGCCTATTTCTAGACGCTCTGGTGGTACCGTACGCTAAACTTTTGATAAGGTTAGCTACTCTGCTGGAAAAATATGAGGCAGTCTGCTTCCATGAAGATTTACAGCTTTGAAAATCTTTACTCTGTCCTAGACAGTTCATAAGGGGTTGCTAGAACTTAGAACCAACTCAATGGCAAAAGTGTTTAATGAGTAGAATATATCCAGAGTTTACTTTCTATGCAAGTGTGCATTAAGAAGGGTTAGCAGCATCTACCAGCTACTCTGTAGAAGAACGCTGGTCAGTCTCCTCCCATAAGGATTTATAGCCTTGGAAATGCAGTGAAGAGTTGTTAGGAATCAGAATCTACGCCTTGGCAGTATAAGTGCACATTTAATCATACTAAGCACAGGTCAATCATAAAGCAGATCTCAAATTTTATAAAATAGCAATGAAACAGAATATTTAAGCCTGACCTTAATGGTGATATACCAGTAAAAACAACCCAAATGCTGGAAAACGTAAAAAAAAAACAAACAAACTTGTAAATGACTCACAGGGGAGAAATAAGACAACAAATAATTAAAATAATCTTGAGTAAATGATAATAAAATATATCACAAATACAAATGAACAGGACTAGAAATAATATATAGGATGTAAGTGCTTAAAGGGAAATTTATTATGGTAACTGTTGTTGTTAATGTGACGTTGAGTCACTTGCGACTCACAGTGACCCTATGTACAACAGCCCTAAACTCTGCTCTGTCCTGTGCCAGTCTCACTGTCTCTGACACACACATCCCAATTATCCCAGTCACTGAATCAATCCACCTCACAGAGGGCCTTCCCCTCCTGTGCTGTCCCTCCACCCTACCAAGCATGATGGCCCTCTCCAAGGACCGGTCCCTCCTTACAACATGTCCAAAGTATGTTAGATGAAGCCTCAGAATCCTTGTCTCCAAGGAGCCGCCCAGTTTAACCCTTTCCAGGATGAATATGTACATTATGATAACTAGATAACTGAAAATAGGTAATAAAAATACAGTATTAACTACAAACATGCTTCAATTTGTCAGTTCATTTGATAAAATGGTGCATTCCAATTCCAATGTAACCTGTTTTCCTTTAGTTTATATAACTCAACATAAAAAGGTTAAAGAAGAAAAATATTCTATTGACAATTCACCTTTACTCCTTTTTATCTACAGTTATGCCAAGCACATTACCTGTGAGAATTCTTATATTGATATCTACCTATGGGAAATGCAAATCTATCCAGTTTTATGAAAAAGAAAATGATAGCAGGATTAACCAATCTAAAGCATAGTTTTAAACAGATAAGATTATATACTCTAGTAATAATGGATATTTTTCATTTAAAATGGGAATATATAACATCCAAAAATTATGTTTTATTAACATAGTGTTCTTAAGAAACAGTTTGGAAATCAGTTAGCAGTACTCACCGATTAAAGTCTGACAGCTTATTCTGGTTACACCATTGTTTACAGGAAAGTCATTTACATATACCTGCCCATTCTCATAGGTTATGTTAAGAACAACCTTAAAATAAAGCAGCATATATATTAATTCCAGTGGTTTATAAATTATGACAAACTCATGAAAAAAATGCATTACCTAGTGAAATTGGATGTATAAATAAAAGTGAAACAGGCTGCACAATACTTTGTGAGAAATGACATACTGAAACATAAACAAAGGGAGACAAACCTGTTCTTTAGATACTTGCCCATCATCCATCAGGGTAGTTACATTGACTCTGATATTGTCCTGTAAGAACAAACACATAAATTGAACAGATAGGTATTTCACAAATTGAGAACAGTCCAGTTTTCTTTTTCTCTCAATTACCTTTATCAAATAATGATTATAACATTAAAAGAATATTTTTAAAGACTATTATTTTTATTTTTCAAGTCTTTTTCATGCCCTTAGCTAGTTCTGGTGGCCTACCGGGAAGGAGTTGCACTGCCAACAATTTGAGTTCTACAGGAGAAAGATGGGCAATCTCCTCTTGTGCAGTCTGCAGCCTCTGAAAACTCACTTGGAGGATCAGCTAAGAGTTAGTTTGAACTCTATGACACATAACAACAATAGTCACAGCCTTAGTCACAATTCCAATTTTTTCATAATCTGTGTACGTTTCCCACTTAATTGTTAAATGCATCACATAATGAACATTGTTGTTTTATGTTGTCATACTGATTTATAGCAACCTTATGTACAAAAGGTAGAAACCTTGATCTTTCTGCCATGGATCCAGTGAGTGGGTTTGAATAGCTAGCCTTCTCATTAACAGAACACTGACATTGTGCCATATATATCTGTATTTGTATCTTGGGAAAAGTGCAGCCAGAATACTCCTTGGAGGCAAAGATGGCAAAGTTTCATCTTTCATACTTTGGACATGTAGCTAGATGAGGCTATTCTTTGGAAACAGACATCTTGCCTGGACAGGTGGAGGGTCTCCAGTGAGATGGACTGACATGGTAACTTCAGTAATGAACGGGCTCTAGTGTGTCAGAGATGATGAGGATAGCACAGGATAGGGCACGGTTTAGTTGGCTATTCATAGGGTCGCTATGAGTCATACTGAACCTGACAGCACCTAACAAATGACCCTTTTTGAGTTCCTGTGCTTTTAGACAAGTGTCTCCAGAGCACAGTTTTAATGATTCCCAAATAAGGAGCAATAACCACCTACTCCAATATTTAAGACACTTCATTTAACCTGACCCAGCTCCTCCAACAGCCGACAGCCTCCACCTTTAAGCAAGTGATGGATCATTCTCCAGCTTCAATGACCATGTACTTTGGCCTACATCATCTATAACCATATAACACAACCTTGCTCGCTGAAACTGAGGAGGACCTCATACACTTACTGCAGAGGGTCAAGGACTGCAGCCTTCAATATGGACTGAGGCTCAATGTCAAGAAGGCAAAAATTCTCACCACTGGACCAATCAGTAGCATCAGGATGGATGGCGAAGAGATTGAGATTGTTCACAGCTTCAGTTTGCTCGGCTCCACGGTCAACACTCTTGGCACCAGTAGCCAGGAAATCAAAAAACGTATTGCGATGGGAAAGTCTGCGGTTAGGGACCTCTCCAAAATACTCAAGAGCAACAGTGTCTCTCTGGAGACTAAGGTCTGCCTGATACAGGCCATGGTTTTTGCAATCACTTGTTATGCATCAGAGAGTTGGACAATGACTAGGGAGGATAGAAGGAGAATTGACGCCTTTGAGCTGTGGTGCTGGAGAAGAGTATTCAATGTACCATGGACTGCCAAGAAAACAAACAGATTCATCCTAGAGAGGATTAAACCAGGCTGCTCCTTGGAGGCAAGGATTCTGGGGCTTCGTCTGACATACTTTGGACATGCTGTAAGGAGAGACAGGTCTTTAGAGAGGGACATCATGCTGGGTAGAGTAGAGGGACAGCGCAGGAGGGGAAGACCCTCTATGAGGTGGATTGATTCAGTGACTGGGGTAATCGGGATGGATGTGTCAGAGGCAATGAGATTGGCACAGGATAGAGCATGGTTTAGGGCTGTTGTACATAGGGTCGCTATGAGTCGCAAACGACTGGACGGCACATAACAACAACAACAACCATAATCTCATAGGTCCTTAATGATCCTCCCCCCCATATTCTTTCTAGAAATACATTTTTTCCCAGCTAGAAATGATGATGGATTGCTTTATTAAGACTGATAGCAATCTAAAGGATAATGTCTTCTCTGTTATTTAAAAAATTTGAGCAACTGTGCACACTACACAAAATAGAAAGGATGAAGATAAAAAAATACTTGAACAAGGTTTGCATGTTTTAAGGTCTAAACATATACACAATAGCATTAATGGATGAACATTTAAAATGATACATAGACATGTGCTACATAGTAATTTAGGCACTGAAGCAGTGCATAGATTGCCTAAATAACAATACTTATTGTGTCCTGCCTAGGGTCTTGGGGGATTTAATGTCAGCTGAATCAGGTTTGAGGGCTCAGGGCAATTTTGGTGTTCCTTGGGCCCCACGTGGGGGTCAGCAGAGTGGACATGCCAGATGAACTGGGGGTCTGGCAGAAGGGCTTTGAGCTCCCCGATTAAAACAAGCTTGGAAGGAGGACTGGCATCCACTTCCATAATAGCTTGCCTCTGGAAACCCTGTGAACCTGGAGAGAGGATGACAGACACCCAAGCGTTGAGGACTCTCCTTCATAGGGGTGCGATGAGTCGCCTGCGACTCGACGGCACTTAACAACACAAATAATTATTTAATTGCCATGTTTCCTAGAGAGAAAAAAAATCATCATTTTAAGAAGTATTTACATCGCCCACAAGTCACAATTTGCCGTTTATTATTTTTTTAAAGTTTATTTTATTATATTGTTGTGTGTGTACCGTCAAATTGGATCTGACTGGTACAGGAGGAAATTGTCCCTACTTCTCCAGCAGAGCATCTGGTGGATTTGAACCACACACCTCTCGGATTGCACTGCAGCTTCCTACCACTACCAGGGCTCCCACAATTTGCTGTTTATAAGTAAAATTCTTTTTGTTTATTCACAGATAAGACAGTGCTATTACATCTCCTCTCAAATATACCTTTTCCTCATTTATCTACTATTTAGACATTATTTCCATATCTAGCTGACATTTCACATTTATACAATAGAAAACCTATCAAATATTTTTTGTGACGTTGTTGTTATGTGCCGTCGAGTCATTTGCGACTCATAGCGACCCTATGACATACATCTGGGAATAATGAAGATTGAGATGGGAGGCAAGAGTAATGCTGGCTGTGTGGGTTAAGATTATGTGCAACTTGGTCAGGTCGTGATTCTCAGTGGTTTAGAAGTTACATGATGATGTAATTTGGTGGTGAATGAAATGACATAGTTATCGTCTGTTCTTGTGTAATGCCAGCTTTCACATAAATGGCCTGATCTTTGGAATCTAACCAGATCTGTAAGGAAAGGGGGTACTTAAGGTTTATATACTTATCTCTGAAAAGAGGAAAATTTTTGACAAACATCCAAAAGAATATGTAAGTAGATTGCTTAGTACTGTGACTATCCTCAGGACTATTTCTATTAGATGTGAAAATGTGCCTGACGTGATTCAATGTGGTTAATTCCAAGGACAGCTCACAGAAGAGGATTTCTAGTATGCAAGACCTAAACTACACACACACACACACACACACACACACACACGCTGACTTTGGTACACTTTCCAATTCCAGGGGCACCTATTAATCTTTCAGATTAGTACTTCATCAGAACCAGGCAAGTTTTTTCCTGCCCCACTCCAATCTAGAAAGCATCCTTCTGTGATCAAATTATTTTCCGCTTATTTAAAAAAAATAATAATAACGTGTTTTCAGTAAAAGAAGTCATACTGAAATTAAAGGGAAAGGTTTTTTTAGGTAATATGGATCTCTTTTTAAAATTATACTAGTTTATTTACAGAATTTGAATACATTGTTTTCCAGAACAGATAATTTTGGGAGATGATGATGTCTCAACTGGACTCTGGTGGTAGGTCTGGTGGAATGAGGCCCCTTTCTTCAGATTCATGCAGTTAGCCCAGGTTCCCAAGAAATTGGAGAGGCTAAAAATGTAAGTGCGCAATACTTGCCCCTTGGGTCACAGAAGGGTTAATCTTGGGTCAGAACCAATACAATTCTCTGAAACAAACTACTGTTCATGAAGTCATCAAGCTGCTATCTATACTGCTATGTCTAAATGCGCAAAAAGAATTCCAGTTTTCAAACTTGTGACTGTTGACTACAGCCCCTGTCCTTCTAAATAACCCAGAGATAACCCTCAAATGTTGTTCTGAGAAATCTTTTTATAGTTTCTGCCAATGAGCAATGAACAGGTCCTATATTGTCAGTAATTCACCACACTTACAGAGATTACTTGCCTAGCAGGGCACAGGGTTTGTAAAAGACAGTTCACAGACACTTGCTGTCAAGTCACTTGACTCCTACAACCCTGCAACACACTGTATTTTCCAAAGAGAACCTAGTTAAATTATTTTTGGTCCTTCTGAATGATTTTAATTCAGAAGGCGATCTCCCCTCTCACTGCTTCCTTACCTGAGCTTCTGAGCCAGGTCACATTTCACAATTCTTCCTCTTCCTGAAAGCCTCTGACTTAACTGCAAGTTCAGGCTTTTGAGCCAGACTGCTGTACACTTAGAAAGCAGGTGGCAGAACTGAAAATCTCTCCTTTTTCAATCTTTCCCTCTAATCCTTCACTAACATGTCCATCGAGGACACAACCAGTTTCCAAAGAAGAAGGGTCATAGATAAACTCATTGTTGTCAAGGTGATTGCAGCTCTACAGGACAGAGGTCTACTTTTTTTTAAATTGTGTGTGTGTGTGTGTGTGTGTGTGTGTGTGTGTACCGTCAAATCGGATCTGACTGGTATAGGAGGAGACTGTCCCTCCTTCTCCAGCAAAGCATCTGGTGGGTTCAGACCACACACCTCTGGGATTGTAGTACAGCTCTTGCCACTAGGCCACCACAACTCACCAAAGGCCTGCTCTTTAAAAAGGCTGTAATCTTTACAGGAGGAGACTGCCTCACTGGTTCCCCACTGAGAAGCTGGTAGGTTCAAGCCACAAACCTTTTAGTTAGCAGATGAGTTATTTCTCAGTGCTCTACCAGGGTTCCTAAAGGTAATGGGTGTCTAGTTTAAAAGAAATTAAGTCTGAGGGAAATAACTTATACAAAAAGTGTTTTCTAATTTTAGTAGTAAAAGAAATTACTCTAAAAATATGTTGCAAGCTTGTGTGTCCTGTTTCTTCTGACAACTGGCATATATTCAGAAAACAACTGATGCTTATCCTACAGTAGATCTGAGTCACTAATGGAAGACGAGAATTTTCCTGACTTGAACCCTATTTCTTTAGATCATGATGGAAATGATGGAAAGAAGGGGGGAAAAAAAGATGGAAAGATGAAAACAAAATAGGATTTAAAAAAATGCTAGAAAAACGTGTAGTCAGGGTCTGCACTATTCAGTCTTCTGTTGTTGTCATGTGCCCTCAAGTCAGAAATTACTACTCTCCAGCAGTTTTTTCAGAGGCTGTGAATTTTACAAAAGATTGCCTATTTTTCTCCCATGGGGCAGGGATTCAAACCACCTGCCTTTGGGTTGGCAGCGCAATTCCTAAATTTGCTAGGACCCTAGAGCTTCATGTTCAATCTAGCACCAATAAACCAAAGCTGGATACTGAGATTTCATTTAGTTAAAATGAAATAAAGTTAATAACCCCCTGGAGATCCTCAGTCACACTGGCCACATTTTACCTGTTCAATAGCCACAGTACTCAGAGGTTATGGTAAACATGGACAGTGCAGAAACAGAATTTTCACTGTAGAAAAGCTCTGCTGGACAGCACTTATCAATGAACTTATCATGGGGACGTTATTTAAAATTTCCTGTATTTATGTCAATTTTTTCAAAGTAAAATGATACAATTAGATCAGGTGGATTAAGTTTTCCTATGTACATTCCCAAGAAATAAATGACTATAATCTGCTTCCAAAAAGCAAATCACTGCCACCAAGCTGATTGACTCGTGACCCACCATCCTCTTTCAGGGCCATAAATCTTTATCAGAGATTGCCCATCTTCCTCCTGTGGAGCTGCTGGTGGATTCAAACTTGACACTCTATTTCACAAGGACTTCCTTATAATCTGCTATTTATGTAATCTATGAAATTCTACACTTAGATCTCTACTTTGCAAAAGTGGGAGTAAAGTGTAGGAAGGAAAGTATGAAATGGACAGACACATAAGCTTTCTGGGTTCAGAAATGAATATGGTGAATCTTTAAAATCTGAAAAGGGGGAGTGGTGTCCACACTGCCAGCACTTTCAGCATGACTGCATTTTTGTTTGGTTTCCTGGTGTTGGCCCATAGCAATCATACTCTGAGTCAGCTGCAAGGCTGGCTCACATATAATTTCAGATACCAGTTGTTCTGAGAGCTAACAATTCCGTTCTTCCTGGCACACCCGACAGAAATGAAACTAAGAAGGATGCTCCTTATTTTCAAAAGCAGGGAGAGCAATACCATCGTTCTAAAACATTACAATCGAAAAAGCAAGGCTCAACGGTGTGGGTCACACTTGGATTCAGAGGATTCCTGCCTTGACTGGGAGATGTAGGGAGCTTTCAAGTTTTGGGTTTTGTTGCCTGAATTCTGGGAAAACTCGCATTTGAGAATCTCCGTTTTGCTACCATCTGTTCATGTGAAGAAAATAACTGCTGGTGGAGGGCAGCACAGCTCAAGGGCCCAAATCGCTGAGAACCGGTCTACGGGCTACTAAAGGCTGATTGTTCTCAAAGCACAGGCTGCAGCGGTCACGTCACCCGCGGGCTGCTCATGCACACTGCAAGTTCCGAGGTGATGCCGAGGTCCCAGGAATGGGATCGGCCTCACTCAGCTCTTCCCTGGGACCCCCGGGAAACCAGAGGGTGCACACCGGGTCCACCCCGCTTTCGGCTCCTCCCTGTGACCCCGGACCTCGGGAAGGCAGGGTGCGCACACCGGGTCCACCTCGCTCTCAGCTCCTCCACGTGATCCCAGACCCCGGGAAGGCAGGGGGTGCGCACATCGGGTCCTCCCCGCTCTCAGCTCCTCCCCGTGACCCCATGACCCCGGGAAGGCAGGGGTGCACACCGGGTCCACCTCGCTCTCAGCTCCTCCCCGTGACCCCATGACCCCGGGAAGGCAGGGGGTGCACACCGGGTCCTCCCCGCTCTC